TTATTTCAGGTAAGGTGTGATTTTACGATTTTAATTTTTATATAGGGTTCCTGTTTTCCATGATTCGTGTTCCATTTACTCTTGCTATTCGTTCCAATATGATAACATCGTTTAAGACATCCACTCCAATATGTAGTCTCACACAAAGAAATAACATCGTCTCTGGTAAGGATGTTTTTGATCCCTTCTTTTAAAGCTTTTTATTCGGCATATTTGTTATCATAGTCTAGTATCATCGAAGTAATTCGACGATCGATGAATCCTACTTTCTTCTATTATATTACCAAAATCAAAGAATATTCACGGGTTTTCGGAGTTCATTGATTCATCTAATCTCCAAAAAATTACCACTATTTATTCAAGGTAATTGCTTCTCTTATTGAAGGTCATTGATTTCTTAGGGTTTTACATATCTTTGATTAAACATGTAAGCGTTCATTGGTTGTTCTTCTTCTAAGTTCCCATATCACCCCAATACATGTTCGTCTTTCTCTATCTTCTGGGAGTTGATCGATCAATATTTGCATCTGTAACACCACCACTACCCTCATCTCTCGTTCCTGTCATTCTACCACTTCCTTCATTCATCCTCATCTTTATGTTCTTTTCTTTTTGCAGGATTTAAAAGAAGCTATCAGTTTCAAAGGAAGAAAAATGGATGGTATTTTCTTAATATTAAGTTGTGGAATGTGTAGACAAATAATAAGCTTTAAAAACAATTCACCGGAAGTAAACCATGAGTTCCATTGTTATAAGTAACATGAACTTATCCTAGCCTTTGTCCTGAAAATTGTAAACATTGCCACAAATTATGGATTTTGGCAATGAAAAGAAATGATTCATAAAGTAAACAAACATATTGTCTTGGTAATTGCTATAATATAATGATTTCTATGGTTCCTCTTGGTTTTTTATTCATTGTTCTTCCTTTGAGGTGTATTTAACACTATTCTTATACAATCATTTGTTTTCTTGAAAGAGTATCTTTCTTGATGATTAATAATGGGTTCTCCCAATTTCAGCATGATTATGGCAAAATTTTCTTCTAATTTATGATTTTTTGTGACTAAATATACTAATGCCCAGTGAAACATCCCAAAAATTATGAAAAAAAATTTTGTTTTTAAAACCATTCCAAAATCCATAAATTACACAAAACATAGTTACCTAAAACCATAATCAAGGATCAAAGTATCTCAAAATCATAAGTCAAGTAAGAATCTAGAATGATGTGTACAATCAAGCATTCGCCTTTCATCTGTCCTCTGAAGTACCTGAAACCATAAACTTAAACTGTAAGCCAAAGCTTGGTGAGTTCCCCCAAAGTACTCCACACGAAAATATCAAGTACAAAGCATGCATATAGGGTTTGTTGGCCCATGACCTCAATCCAACCATCCAAGATTTGTTGGCTTATTGCTTCAACCCAACCATCTAGAGTTTGTTGGCTCTTTATCCTCAACTCAACCATCTCGGGTTGTTGGTTTATCGCACAAAGCATTACCACCTCACCTTACAGTCTGAAAGATAGCTGATCTGATCACTACTCCCAAATATTGTCTCTATGGGTCACCTATACAAATAACAAGGACCCAGTCTCAATCTAGAATTAAAATTACCCCAAAAGCCCTAAATTCAAACTTGGTCAAAGTCAACGGTCAATGGTCAAAAGTCAACCTCTAGCTGGTCGTCATGCCGTGGCCATCCTTGCCCACGTCGTGATAGCGAAACGACAAAACAGACGAGCCCTAGCTAGTTGCCACACCGTGGCGACCTAAGGCCACGCTGTGGGCACTGGGTTCCTAACAACTTAATGGGTTAAGTCATTTTCTTCGATTTTAAGGGCTCCAAAGCTCAGATCTGGTCCATTCTATGGCCTAAATGGATAAAGTTTCCAACTTTATCCCTTTATACTCCCCAAGAGATAAAGATCTCAACTCTTAGGTCCAAAAAAGGCAAAATACAACTTGGCTAAATCAATAAGCACTTAATCTTGAAGATCTCTTTTCTAACATTTTTAGAAAGGTTTCTAGCACCATTACTAACATAAAAATCCATGCTTTTCATACATGCATGTCCAATGCATGTCTTAAACTCCGATTAGGTCAAAATGAGGGTTAATGGCCAAAAATCCATGCATGACACTAAAACTCATTTTTAGTCCAGATCCAAAGCACCAAATACTCCAAATGTCCTGGAGATTCATAAATTTGCAAACTTTATGAGGTCTCACCACTCAAACCCATCAAGACATGAAGAAAATGGACAAAATATAAGATCTAGCAACTTAGAAAGGAAAAAGGTTGGGTCTTGGATACTCACCAAGGTCCAAAAGTTGTACTAATTGATGTAAATGATGCTTGGAAGGTAAATGACCACACCAAAGGGTTCCTTCTCCTCCAAAGATCACCAAAAACACCAAAATGAGCTCACAATTGCAATGGAGGCTAGGGTTGGGTTTCTAAGCTTGAGGTGGTGATGGAGGCTGAATGATCACGAAACCCTACCCTTAATGTTCTTTAAATATGGCCCAAAGCCCAAGGATTAGGGTTTCTCTTAAAAACACCAGCCACGTCGTGGCGCCTATGGCCATGTCGTGAGCGGTCATTTAAACTCATAGTCCAAAATGATATCAACACGCCGTGGTGAAGCTCCACCACACCATGGTCACCCCAAAATAAAAGTTAATATTAAAAATTGACTTATACATGTAACAAGTATTACACCCAGCTTGGAACCTTTAAAGGTAAATATTGTTTTACATTTATGTCATTTTACTACCTAAACATTTTAAAAGGACAAACTACAAAAAAAAATAAGTAAATAAATAAATAACTATTATGTTTTGGGCAATTTTGCAGTTTAACCAGTAATATGTTATTTTTTTTCCAATTAAACCATAATAATTTCAACCCATTTTTTTAATTGTTCATTTTGACATATGACCACCCACTTAAAATAATGAAGAACAAAATGGTTAATTAGTTTGATTTTTGAGTTCATCAAGCTATAATAGGTAACAATTTCATCTGACATTCTAGGTGTTTTAGTCATGGTTCGTAATTAATTGCATTTTTAAAGGTTTAAACTTTTATGTTTACAATTATCTTGACTTAAGTATGAATTGATATATTGCTAAATCCATATACCATAACTCTATTAAAGGTGGAGTCTTTGATGGCCAGTCTATTGTTTTAATTATGATATAAATCAAGTTTAAGAAATAACGATTATTAAAACAATGATCTTAATGTCGGTTGAGTGTGCACCAACAACTTTCTTGGTCGCTCATCGTGCGTTGTTTAGATTCATCAATTTCATTTCTTATCTCTTCTCCTTTATCTTGGCTAGCTGTCTGAATCGTTATTGCAATAAAGAAATGAAGGAAGAAGAAACACCAACATTACTTACCACCGTGTCATCATATTATCATTCCTACCGAAGGGTCATCATCAATCTTTAATGGGTATGATAAAAAAAAATTTAACTCTAATTATAAGATCTACAATTATAAATAGCATAATTTTTTCATGATTTTTGTTCCTATTTCAACTCGAATATGATGTATTTTATGTGGGTATCTTATGGTTTTGAATATTTTTAGCCACTTTGTCTTTTAAACAATAACCGATCTTCAAAATTAGATTTTTCCTTAATCTTGAAGTTTGATAACCCCCATTTTATCTTTTGAGCTATAACTAATATTTAATGTTATCTTTTTCTAGGATCTTTTACAAGTTTATATGGTGATAGTTTCTACAACAACTGATCAAATGACTATTTTAGCAATACGTTCCAGCGATTGGTGAGCTAAAACTTAGGTAGTGTTTGTTTTTTGTCTGCAGATCTGTGTGGCCTCTTTTATCTGCGCCGCACAGACCACGCGCATACATTAGCCTTCGCAGACTGTTTGTTTTTTTTGAAGACTGCAGACCTAAAAATGTCTGCGCGCCCTCTTCTTGGCGCAGATGTGGACCAGAGTCTTCTAACATCTTCTAGCCTAAAAAAACATATATATCTTTATTTTTTTTAAGTTTTTTTAATTATAATTTTTTCCAACTTTATTAATGATAAACAATTTGAAAAAAAAATTAAAAAACTTGAAAAAAAATGTTCGACGATACAAATATGATATTTTTGACAAATTTATAAATAAAGATTTATTACAATAATAGCCGTTGAAGTTGTTTATATAAATATGAAAAAAAAATCATAATATATATTCTTATATTTTTTTTGCCAAATTTTGTAAAACATTATTTAATACAATATCATCAATTTCTCGAGAAAATATTTATGGTATATTTTTAATAGATTTAATTGAAAAAATCGAAGTTTATTTTCATTCATTTATGTATCAAATTCTTTGATCACTAATTATAATGTTTAGTTATAACTTTACAACCAAGGTTGTTGGTTTTTTATCAAATATATACGTTAATTCATATCATTTTTATTTTTATTTTTTATACAATAATAAATAAAAGTTGATCTAGATTCGTTAATTATTTATAACAAAGTCATAAAAATATTAAAAAATCACTTTGAAAGGGTACATTAAGGGTAGGGTTTCGTGAAAGGGTACATGTTCAAGAATTTTTTTTTGAAAGTAACAACAATTTTTTTTGAAAGGGTACATGTTCAAGAAATTTTGAGTGCTTTATTTGCATTTTTCCAATTGCAACATTGTATATTCATTTCCTTTTCTTATTAAGCCATTATACTTCAAAAAGTTGTTCCATTTATAGCATTGTATTTTTACAAGTTCGTAATGCAAAATTTTATAACCATTTTAAGATTTGAGACTCTCCTACCATTTTATAACATCAATTCTACCTAAAATTTTGGACCAATCATAGGTCGTGCTTTGTGCCTTGTTAATACGTTTTAATATGCATATGTAATCTGAAAATCTTTTTATCTTTTTATTAACCAATAAAACTGAAAAAAAAAAAAATCTTTTTAACCTTGCAACTGCCTTAAAATTAACGTAACTCATCACAGGCATCTCCATTTAGAGCAGTTTGAAAAGCAATCCTTCTTTATTGATAATTGTAGTTGGTACTTTTCTTAAACATTACAAACCACTAAATATTCCCATAAATCATTTTATTTCCGTTCTTTATTGCTAAATACACGAATCTAGCAACCCCAAAAAGGGGGAACCATATTTATCATCATGCATAAAGGGAATCCTCATACTTGCCACTCCACCTGTTTAATAAATAGTTCACATTAAAAACTTTCATCATCTTCATTCTTCAATATCAAAACAATATAAAAAAGTTTTTTAAGTTACAAATTAACAAGAATGCATATAGAAACTAACCTTTGTTCTTCGTTTTCAGGAACATTGAGCTCCAAACCTTCTCCAAATGGCTTAAAAAGAAGATCCAGTTTCTCGCTATCCACTTCCTTAAGAGTTGGTGGGTCCCACTGCAATTTGTAAAAAAAGTTACAACTTAATTAATAGAGAAACCCTCCAATTCCTTACTTTCTTTAATAATTCGGTTTTTTCTCATTAAGAATTTGTTTTTTTTTTACTTTATCTGTACACATAATGACTTAATGGGTTAAGCCAAAAAGATTTACCTTTGGAGAGTTATCTTTTTCAATTGTAAGAGCTCGGATACCCTATTTTTCACCAAAAAAAAAAGTTAAAAGATTCATTTCAATTTTTCTCAAAAATGGCAATGTATTTATTAAAAAAATTATATTTTATAATACCTCATAAATGTCGCCTGAAATAGTGGCTCTGAGTATATTGATTGTGAGTCTAAATTCTTTCTTCAAGCATTCCAATAGTGTTTGCTTCCTCCCTTCACGAATCTACCATGTATAAATAAATAAATAAAAACAACATAAACATTATAACAATCTTTTTAAAAGTATATTTCTATTTATTTTTAAAAAAAAAAAAAAAATACCGATCGCAGATTTATCTTTAAACCAATAGGAGACGATTGTTTTAAGCCTTTAAGCACAGGTGTAATCCATTCGTTTCCTTCCTTTGTAGACTCTGCTTCCTATCGATTTTTAGAAAGTAAATATTTAATATTTTATCAGTAATTTGTTTTTTAATCTACAAAAATAATGAAACAAACTTACAAATGATTCTAGAATCTCTTCCACTGAATCCTTTGAAAAACACTCGTCGATTATCGATTGTCTGATTCAACCAACAAATATTAGTTTTTTATTCTTAAAAGTTCAAAAAATGAAAATTTTAAAAATTGATTACAATTAATCAATTATTACTTGTTTAAAACACTTTCTTCACTAATATCGACACTTGTAGAGAATTCTTCAATGGCAGATTTCACAGCATTCTCATCACCCGAATTTAAGTTCACCAAATTGCTTTCTAACATCGACAATTTCTAAACGACAAAATAGACATTGTAACTTTTTGTAATTACCAATAATACACAATTCATCTTTACAATATAGAGTAAATTACACGAATGGTCCCTATGGTTTAGGGTAATTTGCGCGTTTGGTTCCTAACTTATTTTTGTAACTCAGAAGGTCCATACTGTTTGTTTTTGTTATTTGCTTGGTCCCTGTCTTAACTAACAAGACTATTTTGCCCTTGATTTTTTAATTTATTTTATAATAAACACACCCCTAACCCCACCCCCTCACCTTACCTTACCTACCCCATCATTTTATCTATTTAAATAATAGTCTTTTTATGTAAGACATGGACCAAATGCGTAACAAAAACAAACAGTAGGGACCAAACGCGTAACAAAAACCAACAGTAGGGACCATCCAAGTTAAAAAAATAAGTTAGGGACCAAACGTGCAAATTACCCCAAACCATAGGGACCATTCTTGTAATTTACTCTACAATATATAAAACCGAAGAATCTGTAAAACAATTTGTTTCATTTTCAAATACTTACATCTAAAGGAACAAAATGTGTCGCTAATCCAGCTGTCAGAAGTTCCTTGCCACTTAATCGTGTCCCTGTTAACGCCATATATTCACCTAAAACAAGACAACAAAAAACGTGACATCTTTTTTTTTTTTTTTGTAACATTTTTTTTATAAAATTTATGTTTAAAACTTCATAATACATACCCAAATGTCCAGGAAGATGTGAGAGAATATAGGAAAAGCCACAATCAGTATGAAACCCAATACTAGCTTCAGGCATGGCAAAAACCTGTTTAAATTTAAGATCAAAATACAATTTGATTCAAAGAATCAATAATTATTAATATGTAAAAATTGTTAAATGAAATGATAAAACATACGGTTTTTTCAGTGACAACTGAAAACTTCATTGGAACCATAAGTGATGCTCCTCCACCCATTGAAATTCCATGAACAAGAGCGACCTAACAAAAGAAAAAAAAAATTCAAGAATATATCAACATTTCATTGGATAAATGTTTTAAAGTATAACTTCATTGGATATAATTGGGTAGTTTTTCAAAGTATAAGGGCTTAATTGAAAAAAGAACCTGTGGTTTCTTGTAGGTGTGGATGTGGTAGCAAAGCCAATAAAATCTATATACCACTTCAAGGCAATAATCCTCTGTGACATTAAATATATAAAAACTTGTAAGTTGTAACAATAAAAAAAAGGTTTAAATAAAATGTTAATTGAGAATAACGAAAATTGAAATTACTTGTTGTTTTGCCAGTATAGAACACTTTTAAATCACCACCTGCTGAGAATGCACGACCTGCACCCTAAATGAACATGAAATAAAAATTAATTTTTAAATAAACAAAATCAATTTTATAAGAAAAGAAATAGCTTTTTCAAAAACGATACCATAACGATAATAAAAAATAAATGAATTAGAATGAGGATTAAATTTAAACGCAACACTAACCTTAATTATCACTAGCTTTACATCGTCATCTTTTTCCCATTTCTCCAAGTTTTCTGCCAATAAATAAACCTAGTAATCACAAAAATAAACGAAGGAATTAAGTTTTAATCATTAAAAAAGAAAAGAATTAGTTTTTAATTATTTAAAAAGGGACTGGAGTTTACCACTTTTGGTGAAATGACATTTAATTTTTTTGGTTGATTCAAGGTGATCAATCTCACATTCCCTTTGTTTTCGGTAAGAACGACCTAAAAGAGGGAGTTAATCTTCATTTAATCACACATACAAGTGAAATTGAAAAGTGAAAACCCCTAAATTTAGAACCCTAATTCTCATAAATGCATACAGATCAGATTCCTGATTACCTCTTCATCTGGGTTAGTTGCCATTTTATCGACTAACTAATCCAAGCTTCGAACAACCTGTAGATCTGTCAATTTCATTAGCATGTTATCAAAGAACTTAAGATCATGTGAATTAGAACATAGCATCACATCACATCAGAAATCAAGAAGTTTGGAAAAATGAAATGCGGATTTGAGCGAAAAATTCATACCCAGTTGCTAAATCTTGATAAAGATTATAGACATTTGAATCAGAAAATTAATGGTGTATAAGGAGTGATGGGCAAAAGATTGAATCTTGAACTTACTTGGTGAATCAGAAAGCAAGGTGTTGGTGAAATAACAAGACTTGGGAGGTTCGAATTAATGAATGTTGGACTAAGAAGTAAGAATAGAAGAAATTAATGCGTTTGTTATTTTGTTTCTTCGATTTTGGTGAATATATATATTAAAATCTTATTTAAAAATTTAGAATCTGAAGAGGCTAAAGAAATTAATGCGTTGATTTGGGTTTGGTAAATGATTTGGAACGTTTGGTGGTGGAAGGTGGTAGGTAAGCTTATTTCTAAATTAGCCATCCCTACCACATGTTTGATTCTTGGTCTCATAGCTCGACTTTTCAACAAGTCAAACTGAAATGTTACGTTAAACGGAGTGGCATTCGTTATCTGACTCGCTTGCCAATCATGCTAAAACAACGCCCCCGAGTTCTTGTTAGGGTCGTTATCGGAGACGTGCCAACAGTTTGGCGAGAAGAGTGAGAAGACCTTGGACGATTTTGATTGGGTGGAGTGTGTTTGATCGAATTGTTTCCTTCTTGATTCAATTTAATTCGTGAATTTATTGTTGAATTTAATTTCAATAACTTATTTACCAAGTTTCATTTAAAAAAAACATTTTTAATAAAAAAAATATATTCAACTACTATAAATTAAACTATACTCTCAACAATTTACACACACAAAATATCATATCTGTCTCACAGACTCTCTAAATTCATTAAGGAAAAATGTTTTCATCTCAAACAAAGAAAACTCCAAGAACCAACAAAAAGATAGCTTCAAACCTTCCATCACTAAACATTTCACCTCCAAACACTCAATCATCAATGTTGATTAGGGTAAAAAGCCTCGTTAATGAGAGGCTGTGAATGCAATATATTTATATAAAAGAATATTACAATAAGGTCTCTACACTATACAATATGTATAAATAACAATATAAACTAACACACCCCCTCAGTTTGAGAGTGGGGTTTACAAATGTTCAAATTGTTCAGAAAATCCAGAAATAACTGTGTAGGAAGACCCTTGGTAAAAATATCTGCAAACTGATGAGCCGATGGCACGTGCAAAACACGCACATGTCCAATAGCAACATGTTCCCTAACAAAATGTAAGTCTATTTCCACATGCTTGGTACGTTGGTGCTGTACAGGGTTAGAGGATAAATACATGGCACTCACATTGTCGCAAAACACAACCGTAGCTTTAGATAATGGACATGATAACTCGAGAAGTAGGTTGCGAAGCCATGCAGCTTCAGCAACGATATTTGCCACCCCACGATACTCAGCTTCAGCTGAGGATCGAGAAACAACATGTTGTCGTTTGGAGGACCAAGAAACAAGGTTGTCGCCAAGATAAACACAAAACCCAAAAGTAGACCGACGAGTGTGAGGACATCCAGCCCAATCAACATCAAAATACGAGACCAAGTGATCAGTGGAAGAGGGTCGTATAGACAAACCATGAGATAGAGTCCCTTGGAGATAGCGGAGAATACACTTAAGGGCAAGAAGATAAGGTTCACGCGGATCATGCATGAAAAGACATATTTGCTGGACAACATAGGCAATATCAGGACGAGTAAATGTAAGATATTGCAGGGCACCAGCAAGACTCCGATAAAGAGTAGGATCAGAACCAGGAGATCCATGTGAAGATAATTTTGATTTAGTGTCACATGGAGTGGTGTAGGGATTACAGGAGGACATGTCATGTCACAACTAACATTTTAGCTAGGAAATTCTGTTCTCATGTAAGCATCAACTATTGTAAGGTTTGTAATAACGCGTTAAAGGTTACATTATGATTTCTAATGAACCGTGTGTTGTTATAATGCAAAGCATATATGCCTCTAAATATCTCCCAAATCTCTCTATGTATCCTAAATCTCTCCCAAATCTCTCTATGTATCCTAAATCTCTCCCAAATCTCTCTCATGTCTCTCTCAACTTTTTATAAACATCCGTACCATCCCAATCCTTTCCTTTGTTGAAAACAGCTCAAAACCGAAGGAGAAAACCCAAAAGGACCCTCTTGGTCTGGAGCCTTCTGAGTCCGGAGCCTTCTGAGTCCGGAGCCTTCTGAGTCCGGAGCATGTTGACTTCGGACCTCCTAAGTTGAACCGAAAGATTTCGCATACTCTGGACCTTGCTCACTTCGGAACACCTTCACTCCGGAAGGTTTCTCTCCGGAACCATTCTCACATGCCTCGGAAGACTCCGCCCCGGACAACCTCGGACCTCGAAATCCACTGGTCCGCTCCGGAAGCTGCTAACCCATTCCGGAATTGAGTAAGATACTTCGGAATTCGCTCCATTGACTCCGGATATTCCCAAGCGACTCCGGAACTCCCTAAGCACTTCGGACCCTCGCAGATTCCGGACCTACACTCCGGATTTTAGACGATTTCGGACTATTTCTTCATTTTAAGGAATTTTGACGTCAGGAATCCCACCAAACTCGTATTTTCATAACTTAGACCCCTTAAACTCCTATTTTAGGCCAAATTTGAGTATTTAAAACATACTTACACAAAATAATATTTAATATTTATAAAAGTAATATATTATATCATAAAGTGATAAGGGGGTTTGACTTTATGATTTGATGTGAACCCCCATTTCCCATGCAAATCCCAGTAAAACACAAAATAACCATAGAAAACAAGACTTTGCCCACCAGTACTCTAAGCAAGTGTCAAGTCACTCCTTATCCTCTCTATTTAGAAACGTGAACCATCTTTCCCATACTCCACTTCTCATATCCATATTCTGTGAACTCTTAAGTGTGCTCTCAAGCTCCTTCAAGCCTCAAGTCTTATTCCTTCAAAGCAATTCCTAGATTCTTGTAAGTATCTTATTTTCTTAAATTGTGATTCTCCACATTATTCTATAGATTTCATTATATTTACACATAAAAATTATGGATACATATTCTTAGGAAATTCTATAAGTTCAAAGAGTTATCAAACCCTTCAAGTGTTAGAACTTGGAAACTCCTTAGCACCTCTTCAAATCATCCAACAAGCTAAACCACGGTGAGCTTCATACCCCTACTTTTTCGAGTTTTTATTGTTTTTGGGGGAGAATACAAGTCAAAACCTTGTTTTAAACCTTGATTTATTTTCTTGTTATGCTTGTATGCTAAATTATATGTGCTAAAATCATGAAAACTCCAAGAACTCGAAACCTTGGGCAAGTCTCAAGTGTTTGAATCATATTTCACAAATTATACAAAGAAACAAGAACTAGTATGTTACAAAATATAAGGTACAAGTTTTTATGACAAAAACCATAAGTATTTACGTCAAAAATTGCTTAAACAAGTATTTTGGAAGAAATGGACCACTTCCAATAATTCATATAACTTTGAGTCACCTTTTGACAAATATGAGTCTTATTTGACAAATTATAAAATGAAGGACCATTTTGCCAACATCAAGGATATTGGGTCATTTTGACAAACCTAAATTAAAAAGGAATATTTTCTACAAACGAAAACGAAATATTTAGTTAACGAGTACATCGTTGTTATTTATGTAATAAATAACCGATTACAACGATTTTTGATACGAACACCTATTAGTATTCTAGTCAGACGCATCTTCACAGTACCTATATATATATATATATATATATATATATATATATATATATATATATATATATATATATATATATATATATATATAAATAATAGTGTACGCTTTAAGTCCTTTAAGAGTTATAACCAGAGTCTCCTGGAGGGGGAGCGGGAATTTGTGTATAGATCTATACGGGTTTGACACCCCGCACCTTCGCTGTTCGCTACAGCTAGACCGGCCAGTCTAGGGTGACAAATGTCTTAAACAAAACCGACGCCTGAAGAACGTCAGAATGGGCACTTCGTCATATTAGCATGGTTATAACGACTCACTAAGAATATAACAGCTAATATTGAGTACTTTACACAAGTTACACCTTTCGATTATAAACAACTATTGTCTGGATACATCAAACGAAGCTTTTACCACACAAGTTCTAGGGTTTTAATACTACTATTTTATTTATATCATAAAATATAGGATTTTCTGGGGAAAAACAATTTTATATACGAAAAACGATAAACTAGAACACATATGCAACTATACATGACTGGAAACAAGACTTACAACCATTTGATAATAAAATATGGGATTTTCTAGTTTTCCAACTATCACAGACTTTTATACTAAATGCTTATGAACTCACCAACATATTTTATGTTGACGCTTTTCAAACGACTTGTATTCTCGGGTGATCAATAACCAGGTTAATGGGATGCGGATTCAAGTTTATTTTGATGTAATTTGAAATGTACTCAATGTTGTCTCTTTTGTGTAATTCAAGACATAAACAAGATGTAAAACAATGTAAGTTTGTTATCTCAATGTATGATGTTTGGATTTGCTATGTTTAATTTATATTCGATTGTTATGATACTGCACAATGAAGTCACCCGCCTCCGGACGTTTCCGCCGTCTGGTCCGGGGGTGTGACAGATTGGTATCAGAGCATTGTTTATAGTGAACTAGTATATCTAGCCATACAAGATATACAACTATAAATACAATGGGACTAAAACACTCTGACTAAAAGTATACATACTCGCTAGGACCGTATCATAACAGAACTCAAAGGTTGAACACTATAGTCAAACCTGGACAGTTATGTAATCATATATGGGATAAATATAGCCTGATAAACTATATTTATTTGAGATATGACCAACATGTGTTTGGGAGTGGTAGTGGTGTTGCAAAAAGTCTAAAACTCCCCAACTCGATATCCAAAAAGTTTTAAGGAACCAAATCTAAACAATTAAAATACTATAGGAGTATTTTGGAACCTATTTACACACACTCTCCTTACACGTTTCTCACCTCTCGTGCAGACACTATGGCCGAATTTCATCATCCTGGACATCCCTATTTCCCCAACCAGGGGAATGACAGATGGTTAGAGCCCGAGGAAGAACCCGAGGAGGAGCCAGAGGAAGAACGCGAAGAAGAACCAGAAGAGGAGCCCAAGGAGGAGGATGGTAGCGATGCTGATGACTCGGACGCTGAGTACAAAGTTATCAATCCGCCCTATATGGCAAGGGTGCCCCCATACAGGATGGGCCCCAATGGTCCTACGCCTCCATGGGCGCACGAGATTTGGAGGTGGAGTCGTCAACAAGGAGTACGACCTCCATTTGGGATTAACCGGGACTACTACGACTTGAGTCACGGTGGACCTGCAGACCGAGCCCTGACGGTGATGGTAAGGAAGACGCGCGACATTGGCGAGCAGACACAGGCAACCGCTGGCCAAATGGTGGCCATGAGGGCTGCGGTTGAGCGCGCGGAGAGGATGACACATGAGGTAGTCAGGGACTACCAAGTGCGCCAGGCAGCATTGGAAGCCCGACTTAGAG